AGAACTTGTAGTGAACTACCATCGAATACCAAACAAAACTCTTTTGTCCTTCGAAGGTATTTGAGTATGTTCTTCACAGCAGTCCAATGCTCCTGCCTTGGGTTTGCCTGGAATCTGCTTACCACACTCACCGCCTGAGCAATGTCCGGACGAGTGCACAGCATGGCATACATGATGCTCCCTACGACTGAGGCATAGGGAACGTCTCTCATGCTCTCTATCTCCTCAGAAGTCTTGGGTGACATCTTCTTGGAGAGAGTGACTCTGTGCCTGAAAGGAACGTTTCCTTTCTTGAAGTTTTCCATGCTGTATCTTTTGACAATTTTGTCAATATAAGCAGCTTGGGATAATCCAATTATTCGTTTCGATTTATCTCTATAGAGTCGAAGACCCAATATGTATGAAGCTTCTCCAAGATCTTTCATGGAGAACTACTGTGATAGCCATACCTTGACCGAAGTCAACATTCCTACATCATTCCCAATGAGTAGGATATCATCCACGTACAACACCAAAAAGGTGATATTATCCCCACTGGAGTTCCTATAAACACATGGCTCATCCGGATTTTGCTCAAAGTCAAACGTTTTGACTACAGAATCAAATCGGATGTTCCAACTGTCTAACAATAATAACTTGCCCTATTGTGCTTGTTTTGTCTCTCAAGTCTGAAGGCCACCCCAAAGTAGTTGTGAACTTGCAAATCGCATCCCACTCACATATAATGGAGATTTCAGGTAGTGTCGTGAGAGTAAGACTCAGGCTAAATATAAAACCGTTTTGGTAGCTGGGTCATGAGTTGAATGATTCAACCATTAGGTTAATTCACTCAAAAAAACTCATAAAAAAAAGGATTATGATTCTAGATCATTTTAAATCTATTTTACATCAGAATAAGCTTAAGCTTGGAACAATAAATATTAGAGATTAAAACACTTGTAAATACTTGGGATAAATTTGACTAAATCAACATTTGTAAGAATCAGGCAATCCAACGACTGTTTTGGTTGTGGTTCTCAATTAAATAGTCTGTCTCATCCCGTTCAAGTGTGGCAAAACCAATTTTCAATTTGTGCATGAGGCCATGTTAATCTTCTGTGTATAGTTCCAATATTAGATGTATCTCTCAAATGATTTACAAAATTATTTTTTAACATTCTAAGATAAGACAGATACCATGGTTTTCAAAACCAGATTGGACCAGAAAAACTAAGAATCAGTCAGGCGACCAGTTCTGGTTTTCCCAAAACCGGATTTTCCATAAAAACCATTGATTTTAGTCAGCAAACCGCTAACCCGGGCGGTTAACCATTCAAACCGTTCAAAAGTTTTGATCAGTTTTCATTTTTTTATTTTTTGTTAGAACGGGCCGACCATTTGGGTTGAACGGTCAGACCATTCGACTCAGTAATCAGACCCCTGACCAGTTCGATCTCCGGGTCGGTTTTAAAAACCATGACTGGTACAGTTGACCAGTTAACTCTAATAGTAATTGACAACAGGTTACCATGCCAACCTACCAAGCTTATGTGGTCAATATAATGATCACGTTTGCTTTAACGGTATACATTCTAGAAAAATCTATGATGTCAAAAGATATGATATGAAAAGAGTTTTGACCAATCAAAACCCACCTATGAATTTTGATAAATAACACCTGATTCACTACTACATTTATGATTCCAATTTATTGTTTAGTTGCTTTTTGGATATCATATCTTTTCCATTGAACCCATACATTTTATAGCATTAAACACTTATTGAGGCTGCCACATATGCGGTATCCACATCCATTCTACTATAAAAAGTGAAATACACATTGGGTGTTGTAGCACTTTTCCATGACTGAATTTTTCCAATTTGTGAATTTGGCAACAAAATATAACTCGGACTGCTACTTAATGATCATCCTATTCTTTAACGTAAACTCATATATAGGCACTTTTTATTTCTCTCCATTATATTCCACTAAGGCTCCGTTTGGCATCATTCTGCATTTCTGCCGGTTCACAACCTTTTAGCCATAAGAAAGCCCTAATCAAGCTTAGTCGTATTCTCCTTCCTATCGCCGACGCATTCTCAAGCCTTTGCAGAGCTTAGACCAGGCTGCAATCATTCGATCGGCTGCGTTTCTCAGCCGGTTTTCTTGCAATCAATCTTCACCTTTCCGCCGCACGTATAAGGGCCTTCACTCCTTGCTTAGTTCATTTCTCAATGCTTTTTAACCCTTGCTTATTTTTTATGTTCATTATCTCTGTTTGACATGCAATTTGCTTTCTTATTGTAAAAATGTATTAGATTTGAACTTCCTCTTCAGATTAACAAAAAAATGTATTGATTTATGCCATTGAATTGATCCAACTTATTCAAGTATGGATTTGAAAAACTAATCTTAAAATTAACAGCATATCCAAACATTGCTTCTGTTTCTTTTAGAATAGAAATTTGCTCTTAAGGAACAAATTGCCAAACACTAGTGCGTTATTCCCCGGGAACCAGAAATTCCATTCCTGTTCTAGAGCACGAATTTCTCCAAGAACAGGCAGGAATAATGCCAAACAGGGCCTAATTAACCCTACACGCTATAATGTTTAATGGTATAACCAAAATGAAATCTATGATGTCATAATTAAATAATAAAATTTTAAAATAAATAAAATACAAAAAATAAAAATAAAAATTGGACACATCAATAATATATATATCATATTGAACAAAAAAATAAGTATGATAAATAAAAATTATTCTTATTAACAATGAAAATGAAATAAAAATAGAAAACAAAAAGCAGCCAAGTTACAAAAAAAAGCAAAAAACAAAAAACTAAGAAGATTCAAAAAATGGGTCTATAGGTTGAAAGACAACAAATCCACAACTACACTATGTTTCAATTACTTGTCTTTGTTACATGGGTTCTAATAAGTATAATGAAATTATTATTATTATTATTAATGCATGTGAACAGTTAATGGTAAGTAGTAACAATAAATGTAAGTAGCTAAAATGCAAACCAAACATCATTACCATGGCACAACTAAATATTTCCCCACATTAGCGTCCTCCGAATATGGGCGCATGGGATCAATCCTGCGTAATTGCAGGTTCTCCTTGGTCAGTGGACCTTCCTGCACCTTACTCTATCCCCTAGCCCCTGTTCCCCTGTAGACTAATATGTAATATATATTATAAGAAAATTGAGACATTCATTATAAGCAAGAGAAGCAAATATAATTTTGCAACGAAATGAAAGCCTACCCAATACTCATTACGCTAATATTTTCATAAAACATATAATATATAAGGTTCTATTTTTATATCGAATAAATTCTACTAGCAATGTCATTATAACAAAATAATGATCCGCGCCTACATTTCCCAACTGTCAATATGAAAGATTAACATCAACTTACGCTTAGAGCTAGCTATAGCCTAATGAAGATTGAGTATTTCCTGAAGCAATAAATTAGTTACCGTGTTCCTTCTTCAGAAATTAAATTACTGCAAAAAATAAACATACAGGTGAAGTGACTTCCCTTAATCAATTCTTCAATCTCATCAAGTAGTTCAATGCACAAAACACAATATCCAATGAAGCTTATTAGACATGATTTACATACGAGCTAGAGGATGTTCAGCATTTATTTCAAAAAGCATTGTTATAAGTACATATAAATCCATAAAACACATTTTACTCATCAGAAATTTTCTAGTCCCAACTCATGCTAGTAGTGGAACCACTACAAGGATTTCCAAAACTAGCACTTATAGGAATCCCCTCTACATAACCATGTAGCATTGCACTAGAATCATTAAGGTGTTCATGGAAAGTCTACAGAACTTTTGAGAAGATTAAGAAACAAATCTACAGAATTTAGAGAATTCTCCCTTTTGCAATGCAATTTCATTGGTATAACAAAAACCCTTCATCTAGTGACCAACTTGATTTGTACTCCTATGCATTTGTACCAGTACAAACGAAATTGCATTGCAAACAAGTGGAACCTAAGGAACATTTACATATCTATGAGGGGTGTTATCTCAGTGGCTTCAGCAGTTTGAACCAGAGGAAGAAGAAGAAGAAGAAAAGGAACAGTCGAATCTGATAGCATAAACCCTATCAGTCAACCCTAATATGAATTAGCCTCTAATTAGTTGTACAAAGACTAAACTGCCCCCCACTTAAGTATGGGACAGGAAGTCTCTATTAAAATTGTCACATAAGCACATAACTTAACAGAAATAAAATGACTAATCTAC